CCAGCATCCAATACGGCGAAAGAAAATAATAATAATGTTCTGAAGGACCTGGGATTCGACGTCAAAGGAAGAACACCAGTTAAAAGTACCAAATCTACTTATACATATTTTTTCTATTTCTCAAAGTAATTAAAAGTAATAATAAATAATTATTTTAAAAAATAGAATAAGGTATGAGTAGAATTGTCTACTTTTACATTATTCTTCATTTTTAGAAGAATGCTTCCAGGGGTTTGATAATAAGTCTAAAATTTTATTATATTTTTTTTCGTTGATGTTTTCTTCATTTTATCAACAAAAATTGCAAAAATGTTTCTTACAGTGCAGAGTGGCTCCAGATATTTTTGTTATTTCACTACACCGATTTATTATAACCTATTCAATATTTAAATTAAATTAAATATAACAGTTGATAAGAATAAGATCTTCTTTCCGCGACAGATAATTTTTAATTATGTTTAAAGTAAATAAATACATATAGAAATTCGCATCAACATACATATTACATTACAAGTTAACCCATTAACGACCAGCTACAAAACTGTATAGTTGCGAATTTCAAAATTTAAGATGGCGGACGACAAAATGGCGATTTGCCACTAAAAAAGATTTTAAAAATACTATTTTGCAAAAAATAATATATTGATGAATTATTTTTATTTCTGCACCATATACTTATGTTTTTTGGGTCACTAAACACGAATACGGTATAAGTTTTCAAAAATTCAAAATGGCAGATCCAATATGGCGAACAATTTTTTCAAAAACTCAATGGATTTATCTGAAATTTGTTACTCGGGGGTTTTTGGAGTCGCCGGTTACGAATCTGAAGTTACTTTTCAAAAATTCAAAATGGCGGATCCAATATGGCGGACAATTTTTTCAAAAACTCAATGAATTTATCTGAAATTTGTTACTCGGGGGTTTTTGGGGTCGCCGGTTACGAATCTGAAGTTTCTTTTCAAAAATTCAAAATAGCGGATCCAATATGGCGGACAATTTTTTCAAAAACTCAATGGATTTATCTAAAATTTGTTACTCGGGGGTTTTAGGTGTCGCCGGTTACGAATCTGAAGTTACTTTTCAATAATTCAACATGGCGGATCCAATATGGCGGACAATTTTTTCAAAAACTCAATGGATTTATCTGAAATTTGTTACTCGGGGGTTTTTGGGCTCGCCGGTTACGAATCTGAAGTTACTTTTCAATAATTCAACATGGCGGATCCGGAATAGCCTACAAATTTTAAAATTCACCGAATTTGCATGAAAATCAATACATATTGAGTTTTTGGGGTCGTTGATTTCGAATTTTTTCACTTTATATTGAAATCGAACACATTTTTTATTACTGATCTACTATTTTATTACTGTGTGACCATAAAATTTCACCATTTCTACCGTCAAAGGAGTACTGAAATAATCAAATTGTTTAACATTTTTTATAAAAATTTCTAAAGAGACGCGTACTTTAAAGGATTTTCTGCAGGGTTAAAATTTGTAGGCTATTCCGGATCCGCCATGTTGAATTATTGAAAAGTAACTTCAGATTCGTAACCGGCGACCCCAAAAACCCCCGAGTAACAAATTTCAGATAAATCCATTGAGTTTTTGAAAAACTTGTCCGCCATATTGGATCCGCCATTTTGAATTTTTGAAAACTTATACCGTATTCGTGTTTAGTGACCCAAAAAACATAAGTATATGGTGCAGAAATAAAAATAATTCATCAATATATTATTTTTTGCAAAATAGTATTTTAAATCTTTTTTAGTGGAAAATTGCCATTTTGTCGTCCGCCATCTTAAATTTTGAAATTCGCAACTATACAGTTTTGTAGCTGGGTATTCGAGGACGCGATATTTTGGGTTCCGGAGCAAATTAACTGTCGTTTTCCATGTCAAAATATGTTTTGAATAAAAATTTTTTTGCAGAAAATCATGTTTTTTTGCAATAAAATTGTTATAAATATTAATGATTTAACTATAATTATATTTGGACTTCAGAATCGAAAAGAGCGATAAATTTTACGTTAGAAATGGGCTATCCTGAATTTTTAAAATTATTTTTTCATATAAAATAACAGCTGCTAAGTGAAGGTAAATTTTTCGTCCTGGCGGTCGTTAATGGGTTAAATTAATTAATAATCTTTGGTTTTAAGTATATCAATAGAAATTCATGAGTTACAACTATATTAATGCAGGTACAAAAAAGATGAACTGCACGCAATTCGATGCAGAAATTCTCAAATGTGTAGAAACCATAACTTCACCAAAGCAACAACAATACAGCAGTTGTGAACAATTTGGAATGTTTATTGGCAAAGAATTGGAGAAACTGGACAACGATTATGAGAGAATTGACGTTCAGATGAAAATAATGAAAATTTTACAAGATTCTATATGCCGATAATTTCATTTATTAAGAACTATTTACAGTAGAGCGTCTAGTCCGCGTCATCCGAGTTGCTTTTTTTAAATACAAATTTTAAATTGTATTATATTAATAACAATCCGTATTATTTGAGTTTTCGCCTTAACCGAAGGACGTACTGTCCACATTAGCTCGGATAACTAGCGTTTTACTGTAATTAGTCATTCATAAAATGGTTTAAATTATGTTTCAAATATTTATGTTTATTCCAAGATTTAAGTTTAATTTAATTTCGCTATGTTTCATATCTATTACTATATGTGATACCTATGTGATTGATACTATTGTGATTAAAGAATGACTGATTCGTTGTAAGTATTAATAATAATAATACTAGTTAACTACTAAAAGAAGCAAAGAAACTGCCTGTGTTTAGGTAAGCCCAAATAAAAATTTACTACTTAAAAACTGTGTTAATGATTTAATTTCTTGATAAACATTCCTCTCTCAGTTATAGTTGTATCCATTGTTATATATTTATTGTTGATGTCCTAATTAAATATTAATACTCTATAGTTGAAATATTTTTAAAACATTGTTTTTGCATCTAAATTAAATTAAAAATTAAATAAATAGAAAAAATAAAATCGGACAAGTGCGAGTGCAGTTCGCTCTGAAACCGAGGGTTCTGTACATAAAACAAACTTATTGCGAAAACACATAAGTACTAAAAAATATACAAATTTTATGTTAAAATGTTATGTTTTCTAAAATGGTACTAAAAAATTGTTCCCCCTGGCGGATTCGATTTGCGTAATGTCTACTTAACTAAGCGGACTTTAGGTAGACATTAGGTAGACATGTAAAAAAACGTATAAAAAAGCTATTAATCGACTTATTATGATAAAAAAAAGTTGATAAAAGGGTAAATGAATGTTTATAGAGTAAATTCGTACAAAATTTGTAATTAATAAAGCAATAAATAATTAATAATGAATGGAAATGTGCGCGAGGTACCTGATCAGTTCAGCTGTACAATTATTTTCGTGCTATTTTCATGAAAAGAATATAAATTAACTGCAAAAACAATTGATATTTATAAAAAAGTGTAAAATTGATTTAATTTCATTGTTTGCAATACGAATTATTAAATAATAATTAAGTTTTTATCAAATGTGAATAGTGTTGTGAAAACCTGTGAAAACTAATGAGTTACTACATTACCGATCGCATATGAGAGATGGCGCCACCAGTTTTTACAATACAGTGCGAGCATGTTTTCTTCCAAGCTTTTGCTTTGAAAGAAAATAAAAAGTGAATTTTAAAATGCAGAATAAAGTTATACAAATAATTATTGATTTCATAATTGTTTCTCGTCCAAAATTACGGACATGATTGCAGCTTTTTTGTTACACTCATCGAGAACTTTTTATTATCATATGCGATCGGTAATGTAGTAACTCATTAGTTTTCACAGGTTTTCACAACACTATTCACATTTGATAAAAACTTAATTATTATTTAATAATTCGTATTGCAAACAATAAAATTAAATCAATTTTACACTTTTTTATAAATATCAATTGTTTTTGCAGTTAATTTATATTCTTTTCATGAAAATAGCACGAAAATAATTGTACAGCTGAACTGATCAGGTACCTCGCGCACATTTCCATTCATTATTAATTATTTATTGCTTTATTAATTACAAATTTTGTACGAATTTACTCTATAAACATTCATTTACCCTTTTATCAACTTTTTTTTATCATAATAAGTCGATTAATAGCTTTTTTATACGTTTTTTTACATGTCTACCTAATGTCTACCTAAAGTCCGCTTAGTTAAGTAGACATTACGCAAATCGAATCCGCCAGGGCCTCCATGTATAATAGTATAAATGTATAATAGTATAAATGTATAATAGTATAAACTATTTAACTTTGAATTTGTATATTTCTAGTACATATGTGTTTACGTAAAAAGTTCGTTTCGTATGCGAAACCCTCGGATTCAGTGCGAGTTGCACTCGCACTTATCCGATTATGTGATATTATAGAAATATTTACATAATTTTTATTTAATATTAATATTTATGTTAATATTAAAATATTTTATTTCCATTAGAGCCGTGAATGCATTTAAGAACGATTGGTTTTCCTTTGTTTTTTTATTGACAAATTAAATTTTTCCAAACTTATAACTTGGGACTGCTAACTTGGTGCCAGTTTCATCTTTTTTTCTCTTCCTCCACTTGCGAAATTCTATTTATAGAAATAATTTTACATTTTTCATCACAGAGATGCAAAATATTCATGACATGAACATCTTGATTAATAGGAATAATAATGCGAAAAATATCTGTAAAGATGAATAAATAATAAGAATGATTTATTTAAATAATTTGAGTAACTCTAAGAATCTTGCTGAAGACATACAAATTATACATACTTTCTAAATCACAGAAAATCGTTATAATTAATATTTTTATAAAATAATTTAGTTTTACATTATTTTAGGGGAAATTATATTAAACATAGTTCCGAAAATTTTAATATTCCGGTTTTCGTAGAGTTTAAAAAGAATTCAAGATTTTTAATATAAGAATAAATTCAAGGATCGCTTAATTTACACATACTTTCTCAATCATCTTCAAAAACGGCTCTATTTTGCCACGGAACTTTTTCTGGACCCATAAAATATTCTTTAAAGTGATTTTTAATCGTTCTGGCAAGATTTTGTTGGTCAGTTTTGTTTGAGGAATGACCAAAGGTTGCAAAGCAGTGTCTTCCAAACATCCAAGTTGGCCTGCAGAGTTTGCAGGACAGTATTTTTGCAAATCCTCTGGCAATTTTTTTTCTTCTCTGATAATAAAATTGTGTAGACAAACTGTCGCTAAGACAATTAATTTTATTACCTCTATATTAATCAAAATGGGAGTCCTAAAAATTCTCCACTTGGCAACTAAAATGACAAAAGCATTTTCTATGACACGTCGTGCTCTGCTCAGTCTGTAATTGTACACGTTCTGATCTATAGAAAGATTGCCACTTTTCGCTCCTTTATATGGTGTTAAGCAATGTATACTATTTTCGAAAGCAGCATCACCAATGTACACATGTGGGATTCTTGGACCACCTTCATACAGTGACTTTGGTGGTGGCAGATTTAAATTGTTTTCCTTAACAGCTTTAAAAATTGACATTGATTTAATATGCCACCATCACTCTGTCGCCCTTTTCCTCCGACGTCTACCATTAAAAACATGTAATTAGCATCTGCCATCGCAAGAAGAACAATGCTGTGGAATCCCTTATAATTAAAATAATCTGATCCAGTATCAGGTTGTCCCTAAAAATGTATGATAATAATTATATAATTATTTTTAAATAATTTCAAAATTAATATTATCTAATGCACTTATTATCACTCTTAATATGAGGTATTTCATATGAAAACCCAAATTGATGTCAGGAATTTTTTTCCATTATATGTGATCAATAGTGTTTTTGGTGTTTCAAAAAGAGTACCAATAATTAAATTTATTGCTTAAAGACAAAAAATAAAGTTAATATAATAATAATTAAATTTTAATTAAAAGTTCTTAAAAGATTCCATTATTTAAAACATTTTTCAATTTAAAATTCTTTAAAATTTAATTATTTTCAATGATTTTTATCGAGCTTTTTAAAAATTCCATTATTTACAATATTTTTAAATTTAAAATTCTCTAAAATTCAGATATTTTAAAAATTTCTATTATAATTTTCCAAAAATTCCATAATTTCTAAAAATCTTAACTACAACTTTCTCAGAATTCAATTATTTTCAAAATTTTATTTAAAAAGTCTTCTAAAGTTCAATTATTTACAAAAATCTTCACTATAACTCTTTTATAATTTAAATTTTCTTTTAAAAAATTGAATTAAAAGTTTCTAAAAGTTCCATTTTATCTAAAATTGATATCCATTTGTTTAAAATTCCTAGTTAAATTAATTATTTTAATAATATTTTAATCAAATTCTTCAAAATAATTTAATTATTTAAAACATTTATCGAAATTCTGATTTTCAATAATTTGCAAAAATGATAATTTAATCAATTTTTTAAAATTTTTATGAATTTTTTTATAAAATATTATTCAACATTTATTTAAACTAAATTGAAAACTTACTACTTTATTAATAAAGTTAATTTTATATTAACTTTTTTAATGATATTGCTAACATAATTTTTTTCAAAAATTAACTTGTTGCTGAAAACTAGGTGCCAGTTTCAGTTTCGGGAAGAAAAAATTTTATGCAATTTATTCTAAAAAATAAACAAATTTTTGCAATGATCAAAATACAAGCAATAGCACAATTCAAGCTTGTGGTGTACATTTAATGATTTTTAATATGTAGATTTGATCCATGATCCCTGCAAAAGGTAAAAATTGATTTTTACCTTAAAGTTACCATCAATTTTTCAGATGGAGTAATTATATCCTTTCTGGTAGGACAGCTTTCCAATTTACTTCCAACTTTCAGCAGTAATTTTTCATATGTGGACACTGACATTCGAATATAATTCGTTAACATTGTTGGGTCATAGATGACCATTTCCTTTGCTAAGGAGTTGTGTGCACCTAAATAGTTGAGTTAATTACAAAGTTTATAAGAGATAAATTGAATAGAATTAAACAAAATAAATTGTATTTTCTTTTTAATAACATACCGAGTATCGAACGTTGCTGCCAAAGAGGGTGGACTCGGAACTTCCTCTTTTTTTCGCTGCTTTTCCTACACATACTTATTTTCTGCAGTAATAAAACAGCTAGTTTTCTCTTAGCAGACTGTAAATAAATATTATTGACTTTATTATTAAATTCAGCCCATAATAACTTAACTTACAAATTATTTTAAATTTCTGATATGTTAATAATTCTACAAGAATAATAATTAAAGTAGTTATAAAAATGTATAATAAAATTTACATGTAAATATTGTTATACGTGTGAATTTTAATAAATTTGTATCTTTTTTGATACTATGCACTGTAACTTGATATTTTATTTAGGTTAAATTGACCAACATATTTTTCCTCTTTCATAAAATACAAAAATACACAATGTGATATGATAAATTTGATTAAATTGAAGTGAAATAACTGTCAACTTAACCTTAAAAAATTAAGTTTCAAACTTTCACTATTGCGAGAATTTAAAAAATGATTGTTTTTCAAAATAGCGTTATTTAATTTAATAAAAAATTTATATTATTTACATCTGTCTCTGAGTTAATCATTTTTTTAAAAACAATTTTAAAAACAATCAAAACGTTGAAGTAACAAACAGTGTGACTGCCGGTTCATCACGCATGTGCTGCATCACCATTTCGAAAAACATCACCTCAATTACAATGTCAACAGTTTTAACACATTTCTTGTAATATTTTCACCTTCTAATAAAATAAATTTAGCACAAACGTGTTTTCTCACATTTTATTCAATACTTTATACATATTTATATCCTAAAACTTCATAACTTTCATTAATTACGATTATAATAATCATATATTCAAATCATCCTGCCATAGAAAACAATTTTCTAAGTTGGTTTCCGCCTTAGAAAACTCATTTCTTACTTAGTTAACTGTTACAAATGCTGAATACAGTCAGAATTTGTGAGGTGTACAAGCGCCTTTATTCTGCTAAGTCGAGAGAATAACACTCTGTGCTGGCTGGGTCGATTTTGAGCCGGCTCGTCTTTCGGACCTGTACTTAGGGTGCTCGCTCAAGAAACGACGGAGCAGTGTGCAGGATGTGTTTAAAATGAGGTAGAAAAGGAAAGAGCGATATTTCTGTCCTTTTCTAATTCATTAAAATCATATCCTGCACACTGTTCCATCTTTTCTTATGCGAGCACCTTTACAGTGGCTCACGAACGAGTTCTCCCTCTCCGGCGCTCGAGCACGGCAGTGGGGGAAAAAGTCTGGTCTGCGTAGCGCTACTCTCAATTTCGTCCAGTGGCGCGCAACTTTGCCACGAAACGGCGAGCGAACATTGAGGCCTTTCTTTACGGTCCGCGCTTTTGCCTGGGTCTAAGTATTTATCGTATACTTCGTTTTGACATGTGCTGGAAATCGACACGTTTATATTCAATTACTTTACAGTACTAATATTTTCTTGGGTTTTTCGCGTATATTTCATTTCGGTATTTAAGAAAATGTCATTTTCAATGTTTTATAAAAAGAAGACCTCTACAGAATAACGATCTAAGGCACAATTCCATACCATAGATCGTTATTCCAATTAAAGTACATAATAAAATATTGTCGAATTTCTTAACATTTATTTAGATATTTTAATCTCTCAAACGTACTTTGAGTGCATGTTTTATTATAATTTCAAATGTGTCATAAATCGTTAATTCCTAGAAGGTCGTAAAAAATTTTAATTACTTGGAGAAACCAGCCTTAAAATATCTGTTGTTCCCTAGTTTATCGATTTCAATGGAACTTGGTAAAATGGTAACGAAATACATGTAAATAAAATGTCAAAAAGTAATTTTTAAAAATATTAAAAAAATTTCTATTTACAGGATTTTAAAAATTTTGAAAACGTATCTCCGACACAAATGAATGAATTTTAATGATTTTTGCATACACTTTACTTATTATATAGAAACAAATAAAAAATTGTTTAAACAAAAAAAATTTTAAAGTTATTGTTCAAACAAATTTTTTGTGCAAAAGCGTATTTTTTTAATATTGATATTTCGACTTCTTACGATTTCATGAGTATTTTCAGACCAAATAATCGATGGTATGTAACAGTATTGCTATAAGCAAACTTTAAGTAGACTACTAACTTGAATTATTATGATTTTATAAGACGAAAATTTTTTAAATTATTATTTTATTCAAAACAAGTTGACAAGAATCCTCAAGTTGTTCGTTTTTAACATAAATATTATAAAAATAAGTTTTTTTTACTTATATACTTTTTTATTTTTACTATTCTATTTTTGTATTCCTATAAGCAGAAACGAAATAGCACTTTAAATATATTCGAATGCAAAACATTTCTAATACAATAAAAAATTATTACAAATAATTATTTGTCATTGTAATTACAAAAAAGCACAACTTGAGAATTCTTGTCTTGGTAATTTTAAAACAAATTTATTTTATTTTTTTTTCGTTTATACTCCTGCCCTATTGGCATATTACGCACTCGACAAGAGTCCCCGATAAATACTTTTTATGGATGAAGCATAACCATTCTACAAATTTTTTGCAAATTTTTTAACCTAATGCGCCTACAGAACCACCCGTCATTGGGTTTTCTCGCCAGAGAAGAGGAAAACTGTAGAAAAACCTCTTCTGAGTACAACCGGTTTATCGACTGTCTAGTTTCGGCGGTATACATCGGACAATTAATCGACAATGTATACCGTCGCACCTAGACGTCAAACCTCCCGCTCAGAATAGCTCACGTGTCGGAAAAATCCCCGGCTGACGGGGGCCGCGAACCTCGTTCGCTCAACCCGCAAAGCCTGGAGCACCAACCAACTGAGCTATTCCGTCAGTCAACAAATTTATTTTATAAAATATATAATTTAATTTCAACTTTTTGAAATATTTTCTGGTACTTGAACATTTTCTAAATCAAAATTATTCTCTTTTACACTTGTAACAACAAAAACATGTATTTTGATCTTTTACATAACATATTTCTGGTGCAAGAAAATCTACATGAACTTGCACAAGAATATTAAATATTAAATAAATTTTCTTGTACAAGATCTTGTACAGGGATTTTCAACAGGGTCTTGAATACTACAAGAGCTAAAGGGATAATTTTTTTTAAATTGTAGGTCTCACTGGCGGATAAATAATGAGAGTACCTTCAGCCAGATTAATAAAGATTAACTATTATTTTTTGCATTTGAAAATTTTTTAAAAATTGATTTTTGTCCATAACTTTAAAAACATGTTAGAACACTTATGAATATTTTTCTTTAATTTTGCAGTTTTTTAAGACGCATCTTTTGATCAATCAGTAAGTATTCTACTGTTACTTTATACAGAGTTATTAACATTTTCAAATTGAAAAATTTTTAAAAACCTGCCTTTTTTGCATTATTCATTAAAAAACCTTTTTGTAACTTTAAAATTATTATGAACATTTTGGAGAATATTTAAAAACGAAACAATTAACCTATAATTGAACTTTTTATTATAAAATATTTTTATTTAAAAAAATATTATTCTTTTAAAATTTCATGTCCGCTAAATAATATTCTAGAACATTTTAACTCTTTAAGGACCAAATTATTTCTTAAAAATTCACGATTTTTAATTTTTAAATTAGTTTATCAGCGAAACTAATTAGGGTTTTAAGTCTCAAAACTAGAGTTTAGAATTGGAAGTTTATTAGACTAAATGAAAAACATTGGTCTAATATTTAGTTTTAAAAATTAAGTAAATTATGCTTAAAATAACAAAAAGATGTTTATGTTGCCTGAAAACAATTGTCCTCAAAGGGTTAAGAACATGAATGTTCAAATAATGTTCTAGAATATTATTTAGCGGATATGAAAGGTTTTAAAAACGTTTTCAAATCGTTTTTAGACCGCCGAACATGGTTTTTTGCCCACTGGGAACTTAACACCTTTTTAAAATTATTATAAAACTAAATAAGTTACCATAAATTGATCTAAAAAAATCTCCATAAAGAAGCAAAGTGTTTAGAAAATTAACACAAAAAGTTTATACTTCAACTTGGCAGGGGTTTTTATTAATAAACTGGCTACAATTAGTGTTTAATAATAAAAAAAGTGTTTTTTAAAAATATTGTCAGTTTGTAGTTTTCTTTCATCATAATAAAAAAATTGTAAACATTTTTCTGTGTACAAATGACAATTGAAATTAAATACATTTTAATATAAGTATGTACTTACGATTCCTGATAATTTCAGCTTCATTTGATGAAAATTCCATCTTCTACTTATTTTGCTTTTTGATAAAGTAATATTTAATCCAGAAGTTTTACTCCATGTACCAGCATAAGTTACATTTAAAGAACCACCGCGATATTTGCAATGATTATAGATGTCATAAAAGTAAATTTTATCCTCTTTTAAAAATATAATCGTGAATTCTGTTGCTATACTAAACGAGGTATCATTTACCAACTTTAAAGATTGTTTAAAATTCCTTGTAAAAATAAGCCAGCAAATTAAATCTTTATATAGTTTCAACCTTGATGCCTAATTAAAAATTAAATAATGTAGTAATTTTTGGGGAATCCGTGAGTAAATATATCGGGAAGTCAAATAAGTTAACCTGTGTACTTTTTAGAGGATTTGGTGCTTGAAAACTTGTTCACTACTTTCGTGATTCACGTTTTTTATAAGAATTATGTAATTAAACTATATCTTTCACTTTATCATTTTTTGAATCAATTTATGCTAGATAAGAATAAACTAATAAGAAGACATTCTCAACTGCGAAATACGAATTTTGTTTAAACTTGAAGAGGTGATAAAATATCGAAATCTATTAGATCTGTATTTTTAATTTTTTGCTAATGGGCCTTAGTTTTGGAGAAGTAGTGTGGGTGCTTACGAGGATCTCAACAGAGGTGGAAAAGTTGTTTGTCCGAAATTGACTTTGATTGGTTGAATGTTGTTGAGTAAGACCGGACGTGTAATATATGCTTTAGTATTAAGAGCTAGATAACCAGAATGGTTGTGCTTTATGAATAAAAGTTTGTGCAAAGGTTGTGTTTAAGCCGCTTACAAGCCTGAGGTCCGAGCCGCAGCTCTTTGGCAAAGGCGTTGAAAAATGGTTTTGATTTTGGAAGGGAAACGCGGTTTTTCAAATTATGAGAAAGTGAATTGTAACCTTCAAAACAAAGAACTGTTTGGAAAGTTTATACTGTTTTATATTAAAAAATACTGTAAAAATTAATTTTTAATTGATAATTAACATAATGTAAATAATGCTTTTAATTTGTTGATGATTATTATTTTACTTCGTTTTCAATTAACTTTGATTGAAAAAATTTTTACGAGGCCTATAAACGGTTATTATATTTGCTTTTTATTGAAAAATTAATGTACAACGTTTCGATGCATTATGCATCCTCTTCAGGTACAATTTGTTATTTCAAAATCTCAAAAATATTGAACATCGAGCATCAAATACAAAGACACGTGTGGATATTAAAAGAAACACCTGTAAATTATTAGAATTTTATTATATTAGATCCTACACGATATTTGGATTTAAATGTGATACACATATTAAACTTACCTCATAAAGAGGGTTTCTAAAAATTTATAATTTACATTTTTTTATAATATGTTAAAAAGTGTCAAAAAAGGTCAAAAACAAAAAAAATTTGGGGTTAATTTGAAAGAAATGAAGTAGAGTGATAATCAGATAAGTATAGGTTATGTGAAAATGGATTACAATATCTAAAATGTGAAATAATCGATTATTAAAGTTCGATTGTTGATCTTCGACTATTGATCTAGATTTAAAGTAAAAAGAATAATAATAATAATGAATAATTTAAAATTAATAGTAAAATTTTTTTAAATTAATAGTGGAGATTTGAAATAATAGTAAAAATTTGAAATTAATGGCGAAAATTTGAAATTAATAAAGCATACAATTGATTCAAACCTGCAATATCAGTATGAAAATTTACTATTGAGTTTAAATTTTTTTTTGTATGTGTATCATTTCCAGATATTTTCTTTTATACTCATTAGTTTCAACATCCAAGATTGAAATATCTTGAAAATTGAAACAATGTTTATATTGGGTAGAGTGTGAGCAAAGGCTAGTGTTTGTATTTCCATTTTGGACTGATCTCTCGTGCTCATGAACTCTAACACATACATGACATAGATCTCCACTATTAATTTAAAAAATTTTTACTATTAATTTTAAATTATTTTTATTTTTCATTTCAAATTTCTATTATTAGTTTCAAATTAAATTCTTTTTACTTTAAATCTAGATCAATAGTCGAAGATCAACAATCGAACTTTAATAATCGATTATTTCACATTTTAGATATTTTAATTCATTTTCACATAACCTATACTTATCTGATTATCACTCTACTTCATTTCTTTCAACTCAACCCCAAATTTTTTTTTGTTTTGTTTTTGACCTTTCTTTGACACTTTTTAACATATTATAAAAAAATGTAACTTATAAATTTTTAGAAACCCTCTTTATGAGGTAAGTTTAATATGTGTATCACATTTAAATCCAAATATCGTGTAGGATCGCTCTTGCTAATGTATTCTAATAATTTACAGGTGTTTCTTTTAATATCCACACGTGTCTTTGTATTTGATGCTCGATGTTCAATATTTTTGAGATTTTGAAATAACAAATCGTACCTGAAGAGGATGCATAATGCATCGAATTGTTGTACATTAATTTTTCAATAAAAAGCAAATATAATTACCGTTTATAGGTTTCGTAAAAATTTTTTCAATCATAATACTTTTAATTTATCAATAAATCATTTTTAATATTAGAATTAAAAAATTATAATTGGCTGTAATATCAAAAATTTGTAAATAAATATAATTAATTAAAAACAATTTCAATTTATTATAAAGAATGTAAATAGAATAATAAAAAACAAAATGATTTATTTTCATAAAAACATGTAAATAGTATGATTAATTAAAACTTTTTTATAGTATATGTTTTAATATTTTTTAATGTAAAAAAACTATAATGCAAAATTAAAAATAATAATAAATGAAAGTGTAAAAAACAAAAGCATAAGCAAAAGACACTAACTTCAAAAGTGTTTACGGACCGAAAGAATGTGAAGATTATTATTGTAATAATAAAATAGTTGTCTTAAAAATGATATTTTCACCAACCTAAAAATGAGGAACAAAATTGCCGATATAAAACAGTCATTAACGATCATCATTTTGTACATTAAATAAATAAATGAAATACAATGTTCATTTTAAGAATGTTAATTAATAATAAAAGTAAAGCTCATTTATATGTTTTGATATTGATATACGCATCCTGCAATAGAATTTAGGTTGATAACCTCTTGCCGCCTCAAGGCGCCATTGGGCTTGTAAACACCCTGTATAATGTTTATGTGTTACCGGCTAAGTACGAAATCCAGGCGTTTTATAAATTTCATAGGCTTTATATAAAATACCTGACAGTTTTAGGCAATGTATATAATAAAATCATTATTTTATACGTTGCTTATGTACCTATTGTAAGAAATTCCTGGGTATTTTGTAAAATGGCCAATTCGTGAACGGTAAAGTATGATCTAAAAAAAAATAAAATATCTTATTATTTGAGTAAGCATTTAGTTAAAACTAATCTTTCCCCTTTATAGGAGTAAACTACCCTTGCATGATAAGCCCTAAAGGAGGAAAATTATAATTTTTTTCAATTTGCTAAAGCATGCAGTCATATACTAATAGAAGCAATAATAAATGCAAATACGCGCATAATTTTTTTAAAACTGTCAACTGGGGCTATTAGGAACGCTGGAGATATAAGAAACATATCTTTGTTTTCTGCTGGCACTGATGCTGTGGCCCCATATGTAGATAGATTGTATTGGTTTCTTTAAAAATAATTTTCCTGCGGCTACCCGCTATACTTTTCAGTACATAAACTACTTAATTTGTTAGTTTTGTGAGCAGCAACATCTTGGTTGTCAATTAATGTTTTTTCGTGAAATATCTAAAGTCGACAACATTCGATTACTGATGTAGGTTTTTGGAGTTTGAGCAACTCATAGTGATTGTTTTTCAGTGAAAAATAGTTATCACGAAGAGAAAGGCCAAATATGTTGACCGGGTCTTGAACTCTAGCAAAACCTGGACGTCTATTATGATGGCGTGTAGTAGTGAAGAAAAACTTCTTCCACCATATGTTGTATATAAAGCGAAACATATATACAATACTTGGGTTGCAGGAGGGCCGCCTGGAACTCGTTACAACCGGACGATCTCTGGCTGGTTCTACAGCGAAACGTTTTTCGACTGGGTGGAAAAGATTTTAATTCCTCACTTGCGCCGCATGCCAGGTTTGTTACCGCAATATCTCTTTAATTTTCTAACGTTTTTTAATTCCTCTCAGGTAAAAAAGTTGTCATTGGCGATAACTAGAGCTAGCATTTCTCTTTTAAAGCCATCAAATTGTGCGAAGTTCACTTCGTCTTTCTACCCAGCAATTCAACGCACTTGATACAGCCGCTCGACGTCTCCTTCTTTGCACCCATGAAACGAAGCTGGTGCATCATTCTCACCGAGTGGAAACAAAGAGAAGGACAAAATAAAACAACCATCCGTAAATGACCGCGCTTCAGCTAGTATTATAAATGGTTTCCGCAAATGCAAACTCTATCCGACCAATCGAACCACTCCTCAACCAGCGAAGAAAAGAGGCCGTCCACCAGCCGCGACAAGACGAGTTACTCGATCGAGAGCAAAATAGCGACCAGTGACACTGTCCACATCCTCACATTCATTTCCCTATATCATCAGCGTGTAAAACGTATATTAATTCACTCAAATTTTTTTTCATATATTTTTATTATTTTTGTGTTTTAAAGCAATAAACAACAATTTTTATACTTTAAACATGTTTTTAAATATTTTTTTTGTTTTGTTCCTAATCGCCCCATTTAGTAATAATAATTATACCGTTTAAGGGGTTAGTACCATATCTTTTTTCAAGAAAATCGATTTTCTAAAAACTGCATATTCTTGTAGTAGATATATGTAGAAATGCTATGAAAACTATTATTTTGGTTGGAAACTTCGGTAACATATCGAAAAACAGGGTACAATGTAAAAGTAACGCGCTCATGGAGCGTAATCTTCGCGAGTACAATGTATGCTTTTATATATGGGGTAAAATTCCTGTAGCGAACTAACTGAAAAAAAAGTTGATCGGATCGGGCTGTAACTTGCACATAGTTAAGCCCTAGGGGTGAGTAATTTAACCACGAAGTATTGTAAGGTTTTTTCAAAAACTGTCGAAGAGGGAAGGGGTTGAATTTTTTTTGAAAAATTTAAGCAGTAAATTTTTGAAGACTTGTAACTTTCAAACAGAAAGAATGCTTCTCCTGTTCTTTCGAATGGTGCAAAAAAAATTTTGAAAAAATTCAAATTTATTGTATTCATTTAATTTTTTTATTTATTTTTTTTTAAAGCTAAAAATGTGTATTTTCACCACAAAAAAT